GTAGTACCGTGCTATGGTGGAGCAAACCATATTCCCACATGTGTATTTCCAATGTACAGCTTATGATATGTGCATAAAAAAGTTGTGTGAATGATCGAGCAATAATAATAAGAAATTTTATAGCTGCTAACATAGTTTTGATTACTTAGTTTATGCCTCACTCTAGTACTTTATGTACTTTACGTACTGTACGCGAAAAAAATTCGGTATCATATAAATAGCACATCTCTAGTTACACCCGAACTACCTCTCTACGATTTGTATAGTGTTAATAAATCAATACTAGTATTCAAGAGGATGAATGTGATTTACAATTATGAAAGAGGCCAATGACTAAATGTATGTGAAGACGAATAACAAGTATAATTTATAAAGTTATTTGAGCTATTCGTGTATGAAAACAACCACATATTAAATGAGAAGCTCTAGAAGATAACCATCAATTCGGGAGATTCAGGGCTATTTATACATATCTAAAGCTACGATCTTTAGGATTAATATCTAGAGTATAAGCTAACACTAACATAATGTTAATATATAAGAGAAGTTACAAACATAATAGAATATACTAATTTAGTAAAATAAAAAATATAACAAATATAAGATAACCGGATATGATAACTATTGCTAGTTCATCTAATTCATCGGAAAAATAACTTTCAAATGAAATAAAATAAACAATACCAAATGAAATAAGATAAACAATACTAACTATATAAAATAGATAAAAAACTTAATAATATTGAAATAAAAATATAGGATTGTATAACAAATTAAATAATCAATATGTAATAAATAAGTTAAACTAAATAAATAGGCAAATATATATTAAAAAATGGTATCAGTTTTAGTTGTATGGTTACAGCATTAGTAAGCGTAATAGCAAATATTTATATTTAAAACCTACCTAGTATTGAACAGATTTTATTCGGGTTTGCCTTTTTGCTAAATAACGATATTTTTGTTAATTATATTCATAATAACTACACAAATTGCTTGCAATCACTATTGAATTAGAATTTTATACCATCATGCCCGAAAATTCAATTACGCAAGAACCTGAATCTACGCAAGAATCTAAATTAAGCAAAATATAATTATAATAATTAGATCATACGAAATTTGATTTCAAAACTACATTAGTAATACTTCAAATATTTTGAATAAGACACAATGTTGATTTTTCGTTTTGCATAAACCATTTCTCAATTTTTCAAACAAATTTTAAGTGTCAACTGTGCCAATTATTCCTATCGTAACTTTTATCCGATGTCATCGGAGAGTCTTTCAATTCCTGAAATAATCCGATAAGACTGACAGAAAAAAAAACAAAGTAGACTGATTGATTTAAGTTTCAGATCCATGCTATGCAAAACGAAAATTAACTTTGTGGCCTAAATTCTTAACAGATTTATATTCGTACAGTTCAATGCTCATATTTTGACAACATCATAACTTTAAATAACGTTAAGAATAGTGTTCGACAAAATCAAGCAAAAACTTGATAGTCTACTTGTGATTAATTGGTGATTAAATAGTCATTGACCATATCGATCGATATAGATTTTTGTATTATACGTATATACATATAAATGATCTATGATTATTTGCATCCGACTAGTCACAAGTATTTGACTATCAAGTTTTTGCTTGATTTTGTCGAGTATTAGTTAAAAAAGATCAATATAAATGTTAAAATGCCCAATTACTAATATTTGACTTGGCAAAATATTACATTGTCGGAACTGGAATTATTAATGGACCAAATTAGGTCGATTTCAGATTCTATACTGAATTGTTCCAACCTAGGTTGCTCCAAATTTATAGATTTGTTTTAAACTTAGGTTGATTTCAACCTTAGAGTACTTATAATCTTTAAAATTGTAACTATATGCATCTACAGAATCTGAAAGTCTCTTTACAGTTAAATGATGAATAATTATTACCTAAAATATTTTGTATCTCTTGTGAATTAATTCTTTGGCTTGTATACATAAAATCTGGATGTATTGGCATTATATCTGGCAGCGTTCTAAAAATTTCATCTGCATATAAGAACTTCTCTTTTATATCATTTTCTTCGATTGATCTGCCTTTCTTTGCTAATTCATACCAATATGCAAGTTTTGAATAAACATATTCGGCAGTAGGACGCTTTTGTGGATCTGGATCCATGCAATGATTAGCCAATTGAATATAAGAATCAGGTGTTCCAGAAGCAAATTCCGGTCGAAATCCTTTGCAAATTCTAAGCATAAAATCTATATCTGAAGGAGACACATCATTATTTGAGTCATTTCTGCCATAGTTATACCCATAGAAAAGATATCAGCCGCTGATGTAGCATGATCTTCATCAGATAAATCTGTTAAAACTTCGGGAGCAAGACATGTAAATAATACAAAATTAGGAGAAAGGTTTTTGCTTCTGCTGCTGCGGCTAATAAGTCCTGCTTTATGAATCTTATCTAATTCAAATGATATATTCATAAGTTGTTCAAATTTATTTGCATTTAAAAACAAACTATTTTTTTTAGTTGGATTAAAATTCTTCATCATTTTATGCCATTGCCTAAGTTTTAAATAAACATATTCAGCTGAAGGACGTTTTTGTGGATCTGCGTCCATGCATTGTTTAGCCAGATCGATATAGAAGTCAGGTGTTCCGAAAGCAAATTCTGGTCGCAATCCATTGCAAATATTTACAGCAAGATCGTTATCGAATTGATAACCATCAAAAGGTCTTTGTTCCATTGATATTTCTGCCATAATAACTCCCATACTATAGACGTCAGCTGCTTGTGTAAATCGATGAGCTACAAGTACTTCTGGAGCACGGTAGGGTATAACTCCATAAGTAATTTTTAAATCATGTTCATCATACTTTTTAGATAAACCTAAATCAGCAACATAAGACCGCTTTTTTTTATTATCATGTAATATATTACCGCTATGAAAATCAGCATGGACAAATCCTGCTTTGTGAATTCGAGATAAATCATATGATATGAAGATAAGGTGACGTAATTTACTTTCCCAATTAAGTTTTCTAAAATTAGATCTTAAAAAATGTCGGAGATTTCCACCATCAGCATATTGAAATACCATAAGGTATTCATTGGTTTCTGGATTCTGAGTTAACCCATAAATCTTAAGTCCAATACCCTTTAATCTACATGTCATATGAGTTTTAAGCTTGCAAATTTATATAAATACGTTAGTTTAATAAATTTTAATTAATTAATATATAATATAATTTGTATACCTCGTTTAAATAATCAAGTGGATTTTCTTCCGTTCCACACAAGGTTTTGAGCGCAACTCTGCAATAACTTGTACGTGACCTCATAACATTGCCGCTATGATCATAACCTAATTTTCGCATACCATCTGTCCAGATTGCTGAATATACTGTACTAAAACCTCCTTTGTCGATTAATTTAATTTCATTTAATTTGTCAAATGAAATCCACTCGATCACATTTTCATAGTCAATGGCTTTAAGTTGAAATTCCTTAATAAAATCATCAATGTCCTTGTTTCTACTTGTCCATCCAATAGTTGTCAGGTCTGGATCACATGTTAGGCACCATACTGGAAAGTTGTTCTTTTGTTTACAATGTGCACATTGGCCATAAAGTTTGTTTCTATATTAATAATAAGTGTTATTTACATATTTAAATTACTAGTAATAGTGTTGGCAAATTTGTACATATAAAATTTCAGTCGTACAAGTATATGTGATGGTAAGAAAAAACTTTTAGACCATGATTTTTTGAATA